GATTAAAAATAAAATTTATTAAGATATGGTTCCTGAAAAACAATTTCCCAAAATACAATGGCTTTAAAAAAAAAAAAAAAAAGAACTCTTTGTAGAAGTCCAGTTCAAGGTCCACTACCTCTCGTACCTTAACCGTGTTAAGGACACAGGGATTTTTTTTTCATATTGCTGCTTCACTAAGTCCTAGATTAGGAGTCATAAACTATGGCCTGCAGACCAAATTCAACTCACCACTGATTAGAAATAAAATTTTATTAAAACACAACCCAGCCCATTGGTTTACATGTTGTTCATGGTTGCATACCTTCTGCAATGGCAGAGTTGAGTAGTAATAACAGAGATAAATGAAAATATTTCCTATATAGCTGTTTATGGAAGAAATGTGCCATTTCCTGTTCTAAAATGTTACTGTCTTCCATGTACTCAAATGAGCAAGTCAGTATATTCACTGGATTTGAATTTTAGTCAAAAAGGAGGGGAAAATGAGCAGTTTAGGCCACACTCTTGTCCTCTAAAGGACAATGACTTGAAAATGTACAAATCACATCAGTTGACATACTCCCAGTTAGAACTTAAGCTCATGACCACACTTTGCTACATAGGAGGCTAGGTAATGTTGTTTATTCTGGGCAGTATGCGTCCAGCTAAAATGTGCCGGACCAAAAGCAAGAGAATGGACATTGGAGCTGATTCACAGTTTCTATCACTAATTCTACTCTGTTTAATGGCCAACTGTGGATTACTGAATGGATATCTACTCCAAACTCTCAGAGTAAAAGAAGTGAACAAAATTCAATGTCTCAATGCAAGTGATAGAAGATGGATAAATTACTCAGGTGTCTTAAATAAAAACTAAGATTTAAGTTTGGAAAGACAAAGATTAAGGATATGAGTTAAATGTATGAAGTCACGAAAGTCATGAAGTGAAGAAGTTAATATTTCGCCACAACATGATGTACTATTACTAAGGAGGCACTAGCCTGAATTGGGGTGATAGGTGGGAATGATGGTCTGATATTGGCCCTAATGACTACTAAGCATATTCTAGGCAGTTGGAAAAGCAGAATTGGGCCTGAGGACATTTGCCACTTCCTGATCTGGCAGATTGGTTGGGTTAATAGCTGAATATTTGAAAGCAGAGGGAAGAGCAGAGTGGGGGGAATGCCAGGAACATCTGCACTGAGGAAGTCAGCATTCTCACAGGGGCCAGAAGGGAAGAGTGCAAGACACTGAAGGGAGGCAGCTAATGCTGATTTCTTACTGGGCCTCACTCTTAGAGCCAGTGTATGAATGTTTAATGTTTTTAGTTGCCCCAAATCCATAGTTCCCTGCTCTTAATACTGTACCAGGTTCTCTCAGTAGAGCTCCCTCCTGCTACTCAGTCTTCCTGCCTCATGTAGCACATTGGACCTATTCCTTCCAAAGCAAATCATTGCTTTCCATTGGGACAGTGATCAACCCCAAAGGGATAGTTATGTAGCTTAATTGGAGTCAAGGAGGTGCAATAAATTATTTTATGGGGCTCTGAGAATAAGGCAGGTTCTTCTTGCCACTGGTCTTTCATTTAAGAGGATATGAAACTATTTGCTTTTCCCATATTCCCAGAGATATTCTGTCAAAGGATTGGACAAGAAGAAGTAGCTGATAGACCAAAAAAAAAAAAGGAGGGGCTCTAGGACCTTACCTGGAGTAAATGTTACCCTTAGAATTTTGTTAGTCACAAGTCAATACATTCTCTTCTTGCATAAGCTTTTGTAGATTGAGTTTTCTCTCACTTTCAACAGAAAAAAAGATATAATACTAGTAGACCCTTTAAATACTTCATGCCATTTAATGTTACAACACTTGTGTGACAAGGGTATTATTACTATTTTGTACACATGAAGTAACTCAAATTTAAAATTTAGTGTCTTTGTTATAAATGAGCAAATGATCTGCATAGACATTTGGATCGCAGTATATCTTTCTCAGGGACACTAATCATCCAGGAAATGCAAATCAAAATCATAATGAGATATCATCTTAGTCCAGTTAGAATGGCTGTCATCAAAAAGACAAACAATAACAAATGTTGGAGAAGATGTGGAGAAAGGAGAATTCTCATGCCCTCTTGGGAATGTACAACCATTATAAAAAACAGTATGGCTATTTCTCAGAAAATTAAAAATAGAATTGCCATATGATCCAGCAATCCCACTCATGGGTATACATCCAAAGAAAATTAAAACAGCATGATGATGAGACATTTGTACTTAAAAATTTAATGTAACACTATTCACAATAGTCAAGATATGGAATCAATATAGTGTTCATCAATGGATGAATTTGAGACTGTAACTATAGATTAGAGTTTCATATCATCTTCCTTGCAGGAACCACACCAAGATTCATCAAAGATTCATAGTTTTTACTTCTTTAATGGAGAGCTTTAAGATATTTTACTTTCTGAGTAATTTTGAGTGCAGAACCCTACATTTTTTTCTTCCAACAGGTCACAATTGCTTTCCCATATCCAATCCAAAAGCAAATTCTTCAATGACCCACTTCTATTGAGTCTTTCCAAAATATCTTACTTAATTTTCTCATAAACAACTTATTTTTGCATTAATTCATGGGTTCACACATTTACTCAAATTGCATGAGTACAATAAAAGGTATAACTGGCATTGGCATACATAAGACTATATTAGTTTTTATAGGACTGCCATAACAAATTGTCAGAAACTGGTGGTTTATAATGAGACAAATTCATTGTCTCATAGTTTTGGAGTCTTAAAGTCTGAAATCAAGGTGTCAGTAGGGTCATGCTATCTATTAAACCTGTAAGGGATGGCTTGTTCCATGCTTCTTCTTAGCTTCAGGTAATTTGCCTGACAATCTTTGGCATTCCTTGGCTTGCAAATGCATCCCTCCAGTTCTCTATCTTAACCTAGCCATCTTCTAAGTCTGTGTCCAAATTTCCCCTTTTCATTAAGAACACCAGTCATACTGGATTAGAACCCACACTAATAACTTCATTTTTAACTGGATTGCCTCTGTAAAGATTTTATCTCCAAAGAAGATCACATTCTGAAGAACTAAAGGTTAGGATCGCAGTATATCTTTCTCAGGGACAGAATTTAACCACCTACTACACTGACTCTTCCTCGCCCAGATGGTAGGGAAAAAGCAGGGGTGCCATATAAAAGTGGTGAATATTTATTATTGGTCAATATGTTTTGCAGAGGGAAAATAATATATGGGTCAATAAAAGGAGTCAATAATATCCTGTTTCACAAAGTGGGGAAAGAGCAAAGAGAATGACAGAAGTGGAGCTGGAGCCCTAGTATATTTCCTGTACAAGTGAGTTATTTTCTGCTACTGTGGACTAGGACAGCCTGTTACTATCCCTCTGTCCTACTGGGTTGGAGAAGGTTATACGATGTACAACGGGAATTTAAAAAAGGAATTGAAACTGAATATAAAACGTGCTAATACCTTCATAATAGGACATTTCAAGAAAGTTGGGAGTTCACATGAAAGTTTTGGAGTTCACATCCTTTAAACTGTCTTCAAGGATGTGTAGATTCTCTTTCACAGGCTTTCAGAAAACTCCTTTGGGTAAATCTCACTCAGCAAGTGATTGTTTTTTTTCTTTTCTTTTCTTGCCTAGTCAGCATGTCTTCTAGTAACAGAATTCAGTATTTCATTTTGTGGAACACTCCTTCCCCTTGTGGGTTTATTTAAAAATGATGGTACTTTCAGAATACAAATTTTGGCTTATGACCTAGGCCTTGCCAAACTATGACATGCTTCTTGTGGCAAGAAAAGGCATATCATGGCCCAAGAGGCCAGAGCAAGGGAGGGTAGATAGAAGAGATGGATCATAATCAGTAAGATAGATGATAGATAGATAGATAGATAGATAAGGAAGGAAGGAATAGCAAGGAGGCCAAAGTGAATGGAGCAAAGGGAGTCATGCGAGAGGTAGCAGTAGGTGAGGTTGTAAGGGTAATGGAAGAGCAGCTCATGTTGGGCTTTGGTTCTTACTCTAAGTGGGAAACTGACAGGAAAGTTTTGAGCAGAAAATGGATTTGATCTGACTTGATATTTTTTAAGATCACTTTCGACGAAACAGTAGGGAAACCATGGAGGACATTGCTGAAATGACCCAGGTGGGAGACGGTGGAAGCATATGTAAGATTTGGTCAGACTACCGGTATGTGAGGAAAGTCCAGCCAAGACAATTTCCTGGCCGCTAGAAGGCAACCATGAGTCAAGGATAACTGAAATGTTTTAGGCCTGAACAACTGGAAGGAGAGAATTGTCACTGAGAATGGGAAGAAATGAGAAAAGTAAGATTAGGGACACGGGTTTGGACATGGTAAGACTGAAATATACTCTCAAGGATGCAGATGAGCAAAGGAGTAGGGGTTCATGAGACAGGTCCAACCTGGGGATAAAAGCCAGGATACAAAGACTTGCCTTCTCTCTCTGCAACCAACAAAGCCTCACCTGGAGTTTAACAGAATAAAGGAAGAGAACTTTTTGTTGGGGAAAACACCAGTCCACTTTACCAGTCAGACTCCTGTCTTTGAGATCAAAGAGACTTCATTCCTTCATCTTACCTCCTCTCCGGTTTCTCCCTGGTCTCCCCCAGTCCCTTTAGGCTAGACCCCACACTCTGCCCAGTTGCTCTCTGCTTCTTCCCCTCCAGGTCCCTATTCTTAGGTCATTACCTGTTGGATAAAAGACAGGACGTTCCCTAGGAAAGTGTTCATTTCCTAGTCGCCCACAGACAGGGAATCGCTAGCCTCCAGGAATCTACACTTCTCACATTTACACAAAGGGCAAAAATAAGCCTGTTCCGTTGAGCCTGGGTCACTAACCCAAAAAAGTCCCAGCCGGCTCCATTGGTGGAATCGGGGTGGACAAAAAGGCTGCGAAGCCCTCCACACTAGGGTAAGACACACCGTTAGGGGTCAGGAGACCCTAATCTCTCGTCGCCCAAATTGGTGCAGGGAGCAGGCCAGGGCACGAAGGTAGCTCAGCAGCTGAGCCAGCACAGCCAGAGGACCAGCCCGGCGGAGACGCCTCCCTTTACCTCCTCTCGGGGCGCTCCCGCCCCCCGGCGGGGCAGCCAATCGGGAGCCGGGCAACCTTCCGCTCCGCAGACCTGGCAGCAGCGGCGGCGGCGGCGCCGGGAGGCTACGCGGAGGGCTCGAGCTCGGTGCCCACTGGCATCAGGTAAGGTGCGCACTGGAGGACAGCAGCCGGGCACGCGTGGGGGAACCAGGGTGCGTGACGGAGAACGGGGAACGACACGACTTTCCTAAAGCGTTCGGGCAGGCGCTTAAAGGGCCTTAAAGGCCAGAGGAGGCCCTGCACCAATCGCCGGCCTGGGCCACGGCTGCTGGAGCGGGATGCAGTGGCGCCGCCTACCTAGCCCTGCCCTGCCCTGCCCAAGGCCCGGCACGCGGGAGGACAAGAGTCTCCGCGGGCTTACGAGGGGCTCTTTCAAATAAACAAGACACTTAAAAAAAATCTGTATTTCATTTTTAAATGTTATGGTTTCGGTTTTTAGGTAGACCTTAGGGGGGCCGGTGCAGTGTATGTGTTCCCCGCGGTCTAGGCGGCTGGGTTGAACGAGTGGTTCTACTGGAGGCCTCCAGCATGGGGACTTGGGATTCTACCCTGGGACTCTGAAATGTCAGGAGGGTGTCCCTCACTGAAAGCGTCTTAGCCTTTCCTAGCCACACTTTCCTCTTTGGAAACTGTGAAGTGTGTTTCGTAGGCATTTTGTGAGGGGTAAATGAATTAATATTCTTGCAAAATGCATTCTAGACATGTAGTGCTCAGGAATATTGCTAATGAGTTCATATCCTACTTTTAAAAATTTGAGGCATCCTTTATATACTGTTCTGGACCCTGATATTTTTTCACTTAACATTATGTCATATGAATTTTCCGTCATACACTACTGTGAGATCTTGGGCATATTAAGCTAATCTCTTGGTGCCTCAGTTTACTTATCAGAAATATTATGGATAATCATAATGCTTGGCTGGATGGTTATGCAGAATAAATGACTTAGTAAACCTAAGTAACTTACAGCATGATTTTCATTGTGGTAAAGATTCAAAAAATATTAGCTCATCATTATCTATAAAGCAAGCAATACAGTCCTAAAGGAACTCCTCCTCATAACTACTGTAATTTCTGTGGCATTATTTCCAAGAATTTTTTGAAATTACTGAAATAGAGGGTATTGATATATTACTCATTTTTGTCCCAAAAGATTATATTGATAAATATACAAATCTTTTCCTTACATTATGCATTCCAGAAAAAAAAACACTGATGTGAAATGGTAGACAAAGTATTATAAGAAATGTTTTGCATGAAAGGTTCTCTAACTGTACTTGAACGTTTAGGAGTAATTGTCAATGTTTTTCTTGTTTTTCATACATGTTCTTTATTTCTTTTCTTTTTTAAAAAATTCTTTTTACTCCCTTGCCCATGCAATTAGCATTTGCTTAACAAAGATTTGCCACACTTGGCCACATGTCTCCCGCACCCCCCCTCCCCTGTCTTATTCTCTGAGACAAGATCTCACTAAATTACCCAGGCTGGCCTTGAACTTTTCCATCCTCCTGCTTCAGTTTCCCAAATAGCTAGGATTACAGGTATGTACCACCATGACCAGCTGGGTCATATCTAATAATCACTTTATTTTAATTGTATTTAGTTTTTCATCTATATTTATTATCACTCCTAATCTTTTTTTAATAAAATAAGGGTAAAATATGATAAAATACTCAAATTGCAATGGTCTTCTGTCTAGAGGCAGCACTGCACCAGAACTGGGGGCTGATAGGGGACTCGTGCAGAAACTGTGGCAGCACTTTCATTCCTGATTCTCATTGGCATATCCAGGAGTCTGTTTACATGATCATATAGATCACTAATACCACGTGGGGCCATTTGTGTGTACCATAGTAGTATATTTAGGATTCTAAAAAAAAAAAAAGCTCATCTTTAGACATATATTCTGGAATTTGAAAAAGACATTTTTCTGCAAAGAAAATGTCTTATTGTTCCTTCAAATTAGGTCTTAACAATAGTGTCTGTTTGAAAACTTTTCATTAATGCACAGTGTATAATTTTTCATTTATGAAAAACCTGAAAACAAAAACAAAACAAAAAAAAACACGCACAAAAATCCTGAAGATTGTTTCTGTGACAGGGAACTACATTCCTGAAAACGTCTTCAAATTATGAGTTATTGGCTCTGCCTTATGGTGAAAATTGAGGGTGACCTCCCAGCAATAGGGTTATATATACGTAGATATTTCAAAAGTATTAATACCCTGAATTATTTCACAAGTGAATAAAGGCAGTTTACAACAAAGTTGGTAACAGATAATTATAAATATAACCAGAAATTGGAAGCAGAGAAAAAATGTAAACACAGGAAATGAGTATATGGGGAAAAAAGAGCAAAGTGTGCCAGTGCTATCCAATAGCACTTTCTGTGATGATAGAAATGCCTCGGCACCACATAAAAATAAATAAAATAAAGGTATCGTGTCCAACTACAACTAAAAAATAAATATTAAAAAAGAAATGTACTATATTTAATTAATTTACATTTAAATAGACATCTGTGTCTATCTGGTGGCTACCACACAGGACAGTGCAGGTCTAAATTGTTTTTTGTAATTACATCTCAAATTTGTCTCTGGAAAAGTAAACTTAGTATGTACTATGGTTCTTGTCATTTAGAAGTAGACTATGCTTAGCAACTTAATTCATTCATTTATTCATTACCTAAATATAAATGACATTGAAAGGAAGCAGAGCATTTCCTGATACTTAGCTGTATGATAATTTTCTGTGGACTTATATTATCAGGGTACCTTGATATATTGCCCTGCCAAACTCTATTCAATTAAGGAATTAGGGCTGCAAGAGATAGTCAGTGAATATGGCATCCTTTCTCTTTTCAGAATTTTGAGTAATTATACTAAACTTTATAGAAAATTTTAAAGTATATAGGTAAGCAATTAAGCAACTACATCATAGGGGCTGGGGTTGTGGCTCAATGGTAGAGCGCTTGCCTAGCAAATGTGAGGCGCTGGGTTCAATCCTTAGCACCACATACAATAAATAAATAAAATAAAGATATTGTGTCCATCTACAATTTAAAAAAAAAGAAAAGAAGCAGCATCATAAAAACTGTACCACTCAAAGACATAATTACTACTAATATTTCATCTGTGTATTTCCAGTCTTTGTCCCATATTTTCCTTGATAGGTCTTGAAATATCCAGTTTCCTCCATGAAAGAGACCTTCATTTGGAATGTGAGAGTCACTCACCTTGAACTCTCAGGCAAGCACCTGGCATCCCCTAAGGTCGCCCTCTCCTTGATATTTCATTATAGCTCCTGCCAGTGGCCTGGCTTTGGGACAATGACTATAAGTGCTTGAGAGGGTCTTTCCCAGGGAAAGAGGAGAAATATTACAACTGTAGTCAGTTCTCCATGATAAGCCACCCATCCTTGACATTACTGACATTTGCAGCTGGATAACTCTTTGTTGGGTGTGTGTGTGTTGGGGGTGGGAAATGTTTAGTGGCTTCTAACTACTAGATGCCAGTAGCACACTTACACCCGCCACCCCTAGCCTGACAATCAGAAATGTCAGTGAGAACCACTGGGTCAAATGGAAAGCACTAAATTATTGCTGACCTGCTCTAAAGAGTTTCAAATTCTTATTTGTACATGTGAGAGAGTCTGAAATCAAAAGACAAATCAGAAATTAAGGAAGCTGTTTTGTCCTGGATGTACTATTAATTTGCTGTGAGATTTTGGTGGGAAAGTGTATCAGTTAGGATCCTAACAGGAAAAAGCACAAAATGAAAAGAACTTTTTAGAGGTCTCTTCTTCACAAAAAAATGGCAGGATTAGGGGAACCAACACATGATGATGAGGTACCCAGGGAAGAGGGTAGACCACCCTCAGTGGACCACGCTCCCTACTCTTGTCTGAAGGGACAGGGAGGACTGTGGTACTGAGCTGGGATGGGGTGGAGGAAACTGAAGCACTAGAAAAGAAGCTGCCTTCTCCAGGGCTGTAGTGGCCATGAGAGAATGCAGCCACTGCCAGAGCAGCCCCCTGTGGGGCCAGACAAGTGGGATACAAGTCTTTCTCTTTCTGCTCTCCACCCTCTGATTCTTCATTGGCCAAACCCAACTGGAAACTGAAGGATGGCAGACAGCCAGCTTCCTAGAGCATGGGACAGCACAGGGGCCAGCAGAACTATCATCTAGCCTTAACACCCCAGGGTCTTTGTGCCTCTGCAGAATGAAGGTTCTCAAACTCCACTTCTTCTCTCTCTGTTTTTAAATTGGTGTATTATTGCCAGGTTTCTGTTCTCGCAACTAAAAGGCTCAGGGGTCACTCTAGTTAAACTGGGCTAACTGGGCTGCACGAAATAACCACACAAGAGACACAAATACCTTTTTCTTTGGGGTTGCTGTGACGGCTCCTCTGACCTTAAGGGTCCGCAGAAAGAGAGAGAGAGCACGCGCTGACCCCTTTTATTGAGGAGAAGCTATTCAAATGAGGCAAGGGGTCAGGTTTCAGGAGGCTGAGTCTATGTTCATGATGTCCACTGTCAGCAGGTTGACTGACACCTGGGTAGGCCACACCCAAGGGCACAGTAAGAGGAGGGGACACACACAAGGCACTTCCATGGAAGATTCTATCCTAAACAGGGCAAGGGGTTAGATTACAAAGGAACAGGTGAGCATAGCTTCACCCATGGGGCTGTAGCAAGACACCCATTTCTGTGATTGAGCACCTCAGCACCCAGCTGGGGAGTGTAACTCAGTCACCCATTAGGTTGGCCTCCCACATGTTATAATTACACTAGTAGTGGGATTCATTTTGTCATATTTGTACATGATACAACATAATCTGATCAGTGTCATTCCCCCTTCCTCCATTTCTCTCCATTTCTCCCTCCCCTTGATCACTTATTCTGCTTTATTCTCTTTTTATTATTATTTTTATCTCTTTTTTATTATTGTTATTATTATTATGTCAATTACTGCATCATAATTATATGTATATAGGCAGGATTCTTTGTGCTATATTCATATATGGACACAACATAATTTGGTAGATGTCCTTCCCCAGTACCCCCCCCTTCTATCTTCCCTCTCTCTCTTGATCCCCTTCCTTTACTCTGAGTCTTCTCTGGCTCCCCTTCTTATGCAGATATACAGATAGTCATCCAGTACTGCTTAAGGCCTCTGGCTTTGTTTCATGAAGGAATGCCAGGTCATTCTGTTTGGGTTTTTTTTGTTGTTGTTGGGTGGGGGTGGGGGGGCTACTGCAGGATTTAAGGGTTTTTTGTTTTGTTTTTAAATATTTTTTTTAGTTATAATTGGACACAATATCTTTATTTATTTTTATGTGGTGCTGAGGCATGAACCCAGTGTCTCACACGTGCGAGGTGGGTGCTCTACCACTGAGCTACAGCCCCAGCCCTTGTTATGTTTTTATTTGTTGTTTTTAATCATTACTATTTCATTTTGTGCTGTTTGGGGCACTAAAATATTTGTTGGGACCTGAGTAAATAGTTGGCTATTTCATATACCTTATACTTACTTGTACATAATGATTTTTTTTTTTCCTTATAGCTTAACTCTTTCCCTTTTTTTCTGTCTCAGAAACCTTATGAGAAAACCTCCATTTTGAAAGGGGCTTAAAGTTTTCACCTGAAACCTGAGAATTTACCACCCCTTAACCAAACTGCCTAGGAAACAAAATAGTGAAATAATATGAAATAAAATAATTTATATGATTAATATCAAGGACACAAATAATACATTATGAAATCTTGCTTGTTGTTTTGCTAAAGAGAAAAAATGTTTTTTCTCTAGAGATCTTTAAAAACATAATTATTAGGCTTTTAACATGTTAGAAACAAAAGTTAGAAGTGTGGAAAATTTGCATGTCTTTGACTCCCACCTGGGAGTTGTACTGGGTATGCTCAGTGTTCTAGCAGTTCATGTTTTCCTATGTACTGGGCCAGAAAGAACTAGTCTTTAAGCAGTAGGAGACCGAGGTTATGATCTGGACCCTCTGGAGGGTAAAATGCCTAAGGACATGTGTAGGACCCTGGTATGTCCTGATCTCAGCCCAGTTTTGAAACTGAGTTGCACATTGTTCTGCATCATTTCAGTTAATATGCAGCTCTTTTAATATATGGACATACCTTCCAAGTTTAAGTATACTAGACATTTATTCCTTAATAAGAGTACTTTGCCACATGTTACATTATTTCCCTCCAATTATATCAAGATCACTTTTGCTAAAGGTAGAAGCTTTTTAAATGGTTAGGGGAAAGAAAAGGAGATTGTGGAACAGATGGGGGGGGGCTAGGAAGGACTGGGGAAGGGGTGGCTTTTGTTTGGGTGAGTGGCAGGTAAAGCCAAGGACAAGTTTCAAGCTTTTTTCCACCTGGAGCCTGGATGGCAGCAGTTTCATAATTCTGATATTCTGAGCTTGACCTAGTTTACTTGTGTCTGTCCGTCCCTTGGAATCAGAGAGAGGCAAAGACCCTTCAGTTAACCAAGATAAACACCCAAGAAAATTAAACCAAAAGAGAACAACCACAAATAGTATGTCAGCACTGAAAGATAGTATAGGGTCATGTAAGCTTATCTAAGTTCCTCTGCCCCCTCCTTTTTCTAGGTACAGGTCTCCAACAGGAGACAACATGCCCAAGCCTTGATTGCACAGTTGGTGGGTGACTAGGCCAGGCCAAGAATTCTGGTCTCACGGGTCACAGGCAGGCTCTTCATTCCCCAGAGATACATCTGGACTTTCTGTACCTGATTGTGTTTTGTTTTGGGGTCAGAGCAAATAAAGGCTCAAACTCCAAGGCTGTTTAACAGACATGGTGCAGAAGATGGCAGAATGTGGGGCAGGGGCAGAATCTTGCTTTACATTGCTTTTTTTTTTTTTTTTTTCCCCCGGTTCTGGGGATTGCTTTGAGCTACATTTTCAGCCCTTTTTATTTTTTATTCTGAGATAAGGTCTTGCTAAGTCCTTATGCCCTCACTAAGTTGTTGAGGCTGGTCTGGAACTTTCTATCCTCCTGCCTCAGCCTTCCTGGTCTCTGGGATTCCAGGCATGCATCCCCATGCCCAGTGGAACTTTTAAGTTCTTGAAGTGAAGCATAGCAGAGTGTTGGGAGGGCAAACAGCATGCTGTCCAGGGGCCTCTATGGTCCAGACTGTTGTCCAACATACACCCTTCATGTAGTCCTGGCTCCTCCCATGCCCCCAGCTCTCAGTGTGTTGGTCATCATTCTGAGGTATTTTATGCATAAGAAGACATCACATTTACTGACTTCCTGGGATCTGAGAAGAAAATCTACTCGTTTTGTCACATTCTGCTTTTTGAGGTTTTCTTTTAGCAAGATCCCGTTTTAAATATTTGCTAGGAGATAGGAAAAGGCACCAGACTGCAGAAGAAAAGACAGCATGTGTACTCACCATGTCATGAGACCCACTCTCAAAGCAGGAAGAAGTGGGAAAAGAGAAGGGAGGAGAAGGCTAGAAACATGTTCCTCTCAACATAAAGCCTTCCCCAGGTGGTCTTAGGGTGAGTTTCCCAGAGTCAAGGTTGTTTTGTTTTGTTTTTTTCTTTTCTTGTAGTGCTGGAGATCAAGCCCAGAGCCCAGGACTAGCTAGGTAAGCACTTCACCACTGATTGCATCCCCAACTCCAACAAGGTGGTAGTGTGGTTTTATGGATGCTATCTATCCCATTTCACTGTTATTTGATTATTATCATCCCTGTGCTTAATCAAACCAAACCAAAGCAAGATCACACGCAGGGCTAGGCCAAGGATAGGGTTACCTCAGCCTTCCATTTTCACAGGCCATAGAAGTCCCTTTTCTCCCCGTTGGCCTCCTGGACATCACACCCAGGTGGAGGGGCCAGAGAGGTATGTTTAGTCCTTCCTCCCTCACCTCTGATTATCCACTTGCCCTGCCCTTACCTGCCAAGTCTTAGTTAAAATAAAGTAGCAATCCTAGCAGCTCTGAAAAAAATGAATGAGAAGTTAATTTTTTATCTGTCTCTGTTATACTTAAAATTCTAGTGTTTATTCAGGAGTGACTTCTGACTTTCTGTACATGGTCTCCTGGATGCCTGATGAAAATGCAGATTGTCAGCCTCCCCTCCCCTCCAGGCTTTCTGGGCCAGACCTGGGTGGAGCCCGAAATAGACATTTTCAATAAACAGTCCCAGGAATACATTGAAATTTGCTACCACTGTTATGCCATGTCACATTGTTGTTGTTTTTTTTAATATATATACCTTTATTTATTTATTTTTATGTGGTGCTGAGGATCGAACCCAAGGCCTCGCACGTGCTAGGTGAGCACTCTGCCATTGAGCTACAACCCCAACCCGTCACATTATTTTTAAAGTATTTTTTTAGTTGTTGATGGACTTTATTTATTTATTTGTTTGTTTGTTTACTTTTCTGTCATGCTGAGAATCAAACCCAGGGCTTTACACATACTAGGCAAGTGCTCTACCACTGAGCCACAACCTAGCCCAACATTTCCTCTTTTATTTCTTTTCTTTCTCTCTTCTATCTCCCTTTATTGTCCCTTTTCTTTCCTCATGCCTCTGATTCCTGCTCACCTGTTTGCTCCCTTGTTCCTTCTTAATGCTAAGGGTTCAGAGTAGCCTCCAAGCTGTTCTTTTAATATAATATATTTAAGTCCCATGGAAACTCACTAGGACAGGAAAAAAGAACTACATTTTATTACCTTGCTTGTATTCATAAAAGAAAGCCAAATAAAAAGCTGTCTTCTCCAAGCACCAACTTTGGGAAATGCATGGTTTTCATGGAGGCATCATGTTTCCAGCTGTTCTTCCAGTATAGGAGAGGGACCTTGGTGTTTGGAAATGCCCTTCTGTAAGAAACATCGCTGGTATGATGTTCCAGGGAAGTTGGCCACCACCAGCCCCAGTACAGAAGACACTGACTGGATACCCTGTGGGTGGGCACAAGGTGGGGAAGATGGGACTGGTGGGACAGGAAGTATTGGAGGAGGAAGTGGGCTAGCATGAAGGAGTATGGAGTTCGGGGTGATACCATTAGGGTCCTGAACCTATGCTTTTGTTTTCACAGCCACTGAAGGAAGAGACCAAGATGAATGCAGAGGTGAGTCCTTTACCAAGACCATTTTAAGAGATGCTTTTTATTACAATGTTCCTGATTTTTTTCTCCGCAGGATATCCTTTCTCCTTACAGAGCTTTCAGAAACAAAAACTTGCAAACATTTCTCCTCCAGCCTACTGATGTGCACCTGGTTCTGGGTGATGTAGGAAGAACGAGGCCCCTCTGGAGTTCTTATCCATGTCCATCCACCTTCAGTTAGAGTTAAATTTTTCACTACATCTAATTCTGGAATAGTACTCAGGAGCTAGGGTGGCAGTGGGGTGGGGAGGGTGCTGCACTAACAGTCCTGCTTTATGTTATTCTGGGGACTCTTGACTTTGCTTACTAGGACCTGTCTTTGCATTGTCTTCTTAGTGCTCTCATTTCCTGTTCTTTGATCCAAGAAGGTGTCTGGCATCTTTACCCCTTTGTTTTATTCATCTACTCATTCCTGCTTATTCCTGCTTTCACTCCCTCCCTAGACTAGCCTGCGGTTCATCCCCACTATTTCACTGATGCCCCCAACTCTTTTTCCCCCCTGTTCTGCTCATCTACTTTGGCAAGCCCAGAGATTGTCTCCATGGAGTGGTGATCTATTTCTCTGGGCAATTTGGTCTGGTTTTCATCTTTCCCCCTAAGCTCTGTACTCCTTACAGATCCCTCCCATTCTTAGCCTTTAGATCACTTTTTTACTTTACAGACAAAAATGTAAACATTCCATGTGACATCATCTCTCTTCATTCCTGCCTCTTCAAGTGTCTTGTTCTTTTTTTCTTTTAATATTTTTTAGTTCTCAATGGACCTCTATTTTTTTATTTATTTATATGCGTGCTGAGAATCAAACCCAGTGCCTCACACATTCGAGGCAAGCACTCTTCCACTAAGTTATAACCCCACTAAGTGTCTTGTTCTTTAGTCACAGTGGAAAAGATATTTATCAGTGAGAGAGGCTGTGAATACTGGACACCCCAGCCAATGTGGCTCTTTTCCTAGAAGTTCAGTTGAAGGTCAGGCTCTAGGGCCCATTGATCCAGTGGCTCATTATGAAGGATACAGGATCTTTTCAGCTTTCACTCCAAGTGTTGTCTTCACGGGGCGGGGGGAGGGGGGGCATTTCCCCTTGTGGTTATCGGATGGCTGCCAGCTGCAATTGGGGCTACAGACGTTCTCGTTCCCTTTCAGCAAAAGAGAGAAGTGGCTTCCTGCAGCTCTTTCAGAAAAGAGGGAACCACTTTTTTTTTTAAGTTGTTATCCCCACCAAATGCCTCCTTAGGTCTTGTTGGCCAGCATCAGGCCACATGTCCATTCTGGGAACAATCACTGTATCTGAGGACTAGGGATTTTACTGATTGGCTTAGACTGGACAGGTCCACCCTAGAGCAGCTTCACCTAGGCCAGAGGGTATAAGAAGAGTGAGTGAATGTTGAGTAGCCTCCATCAGCATCTACGACATTTCTGACAAAGGCACACCCTTCTCCATTACTCTGAGACTGCAGACCTTCCACTGCCTCCTAATCATCTCCTGTATCTTTTTGCATTGTTCACCTCTCCTCTACTAGGTCTTTCTCATCAGTAATTCAAAATGCTTTAGATTTTGCTGTCTTCAAAGCAAAACAAACATCTGTCACTCTGCTTTTCTCCCCTTTGAGACAGGCTTCTTGAACGAGATCGCCATAGGTAATGTCCCCATTTTCTCATCCTTGAGTCATTCTCATCTTATATTATAGTTTGGCTTCTTTTCCTACTGTTATACTGAATTAGGCTTGTCAGGGTCACTGATGATCTCTTTAAGTTGTATAAAAATTTACTTTTATAATAATTTAAGTACATATATCTAGTGCAGAACTCAAAAGTCAGAAGTAAGTCCTACCACTACCTTATCCTGACCAGCCCTCCTCTGGCTGGGGCTGACTTCTGTTGACCATACTCTTATGCCCCTGACCTTATCTGAAGGCTCCTATGGTTCTCCATGGGACTGACTCTGATTATCATGGTCTTTAAAGTTCTGAAGAAACAGCAAAAATTCTGCATTATTAAGCTCATATACCCTAGCCTAGTATTGGTTCTGTCACTCATCTCTTCTGTCCTAAATTACAACTTTTTCTTCTTTAATAGCTTTTTAAAACCTTTAAAACTTTTAAAGACATCCCTAGGCTTGGTCCGCCTCTAACTAAAGAGGAACTTCTTACTTCCCTTTTATATACAATCCTTCCATAGTCTAACTTTGTTCTCACAGCACACTATGCCAAACTTGGCTTGATGGCTATAATGGTTAAAAAAAAAAAAGTCATGGGACTTGCTGATAACATTTTTCAGAACTCTTTTTTTCTGCCTCATCATCACTTCCTCAATTACTTACCCTCCTGTGGGTCTTTCTCTCTCCTGTCCCAGACACAAAGGACAGTCCTCCTCCCCTGTGCATGGCACATTGTCTTTACTAATCTGTGCGAGGCCCTCACTGCATTGTTTTTAATCCATCCCACTTTTCACCCTGCCAAAGACAGCTTTGTGTTTGTGTATGTTCATGAAAACATTTTTTTGTGTGTAAATACCTTATAAATTTACTATGGTAAAACTGACCTTTTTCGGGGTCACACTGGTCCATCAGTTAAAATTCATGCTTAAATTTGTATAACCATTACAGTCAGAGCACAGAAGCTCACTCCAGAGTTTCCTTTCTGTTGCCGCTTTGTGGTCACAACTCCCCCTCTTCGAAACCTGTGGCAACCATTGTGTGATATACCTTTAATTTATCATTGTATATTGTTACAATTTATATGTCATCCTCCTTTCTTATTTTCCCACTCCATATTGTATTCCGAGATACAATATTACACATCCATTTAAGCCTAACAGAAAGCTTTTGAGCAAAATATGTTATTACCTATGTTTTGTGATTGAGGAAAATGAGCATCATGTAAATTGGTCTAAGAAACAGGGTATTAAGAGGCAGGACGGGGATTAAGTCCTGATATGACTCTATGAATACCTTTATTCATGTCTAGATTCAGCTAATCCTGTCTATCCAGTTCTCATGTCATTTCTGCTGCATGAAAAATTTTCTTGAAGCCCGCTCTCTGGGAGGGACATCTCCATCTCATGAACTCCCATTGCCCTTTATCTCTTCTCAAATTTCTTTCTGTTCTCTTGACTTCGAATATACCTGTCTGCATGCCTGATTCATCTTAGTATTGTCATATATCATCATTGAATTTCAGTTGACTAAACAACAGGATGATTCAGAAGCTGTGGAGTAATCTTATAACACAGTCCAGAGGTTGGGTGGTCAGTGAAAATGTAGAGGAAGGAAATCATACAGCATAATTTCCAGGGAAGACTTGCTGTGATTCAGAGGCTGGCTGGAGGGGGCAAGGACAGGAAGATCCTCAGCCCCAGTCCACCCTGTGAGCTCAGATTCCTGTCTATGGCAGGAATCACAAACATTTCAGGCTGGGTGCCTGATAGGATCATGGGACCTCTGGCCTTTGTACACAAGTTCAGAGGACAGGCAGTCAGAGGGGCTGGATGATGGGAGTTCATCAGAGCAGGGAGAGGCCAGGTCAGGATGAGACAGCCAGGAAGAGATGTTCATTTCTTCTGAGAACTGGAGCTGGTAGAGGAGGTTGGCCTACAGGTCAAGGTGTTGGAGTCTTTCATCATAGAGATGCTCAGGGGCTTTAAAAATGAGGGAGCCCTTACTCTGGGAATATGGAGGAAAGAAAAGGAGAGATGAATGAGGCTTGAGCTTTGGAAGATATGTGTACCTAGGGGGCAGGATGAAGAAGGAAAGTGGTGAAGTATAAAATGAAAACTCCAGTACTGTGAAACAGAAGATGAAGAAGGAGTAAGTTTAAAAAAGGACCAATGTGTGTGAGTTCCAGGAGAGTGTGGCTGAGAAGCTCTTGAATGCAGCAGCAAGAAGGTTTTAGATGACCTGTGTGTGGATCATGTCCTGGTGAAACAGAGGTGTGGGAGTGAAACTCAGGTTGCGGTGGAGCCAGGAGGGATGAAAGGAGGCAACAGTTATAGCCCACAGGTGTGAGGAAGGTGATCTGGGTCCCTGGTCAGGGGCAGAGAGCCCCAGAGCTGGGACAGCGGAGGACATTGAGCACTGTTGAGGGAGCCTCAGGAAGACAGAGGGGAGTGAGCCGAAGGTGCTGCCAGCTGCAGAGAACATACCTTTGGTGTTTGTATTTATTTTAAGTGGTTGTTTATATTTTTGGTAAACAATATAATCACATACTTCAAAATTTTAGAGGATAAAAAAAGACTATGAGAAATCCTCATCCCGCCTATCCACTGCCCAGGTGCCCTGGGTCTTATGCTCCCAGTGAGAACGTGTCACCACTTTCAGTATTACTGGTTTCTTGACTATCCTTTAAGAGTGATTCTAAACATATACAACACACATTTTTTTTTCCTTTAACTTCTCCCCTTTTTAAAAAACAACAATTATAGTACAAAACTATTCTTCGCTTTTATACCTGGCAATAAATCTTGGTGGGCAGTTCTTGTTATTTTTTTTCAAAAACACTCTGTATGGTATTAAGTTCAAAATAGAGGATCTCTGTTTAGCATTACACATGGTAGAAAATCTAAACATGATTTTAACAGCTCCATGAACAGATGCTCTGAAGGGTTTATAATTCCTTAACAGTCCTTTCCTACCAGTTGCTTGCCGGAGCATTAACAGATGTGGGTCTTAGGTGAGCTTAAAGGCGTAAGTGACCATTGGCTGGAGTGATCCCATGATTACTGAGCCCAACCAGATGTTTATCTCCCAAATAAACATTATAAGAAGAGAGAGATAGTAGGGGAAGAACCTGAGTCTCTGCAGATTAAAGGCCACACAGATAGTTAAGGGTGGAACTGGATTAAAAAAATCAAGTCTTTCTAGCTGCTGCAGCATATCAAGCAAGCTCTTTATTCTTTGGTGTATTAGGCAGCTGAGAGCAATCCTTTTCCATGCTTAAAGAACTTTCATTTTCTTTTTTATAGCTGTG